ACAGTTCTCCCAGCACCGTAAAGTTGTTACCAAGTGCTTAAGTGTTTTTTATTACATTTGTTTCAAATTTATTTAGCAATTAGACTTTTTGTCATTTCACCTAACGATTATAATTCTTTAAATTACATTTTTTTTATTCATTCGTTATTACAGGTACATGATATAGATGGTAATAATAATTTTATGGAATCTCTGCAATAAGCCAAAGTGGCATACGAAGTCAATTAAATAAAAATAAAAGAAAAATGGATACAATGTCAAAAAACTGATAATAATTAAAATTTTAAAAATATTAATAACTAAATGGTACCCAACTGTCAGCATTTACCTATTCTAAGAAACTGTCATTAAAATATTCTTCTATGCTATAGTAACACTTGTCAATGAATAATTGTTTTTAATACATGCTTGAATTGCATTCCACTAAGATTTTTTATTGCGTCTGGAATTTTATTAAATATTTTGGGTGTCATGTCAACAACGCTATTTTTGTATAGGGCCGTTTTACATATATTTCTTCGGATCATATATTTCCTGGTACGAAATTTTAAATATATTACTTACAATAAATCCCATATAATACACGAGCCGTCTGTCCCTGCGCTGACGGCTTCCGTATCGTTCGGCGACACCTGTATAGCTGAAACGGGGCTCTTATGTTCCTTTAGCACTTTCTTCAGGTTCTGATACTGTGGCTTTATTTCCCACACTCGGACCTGGTAAATATACATAAATAATACATAAGTGTAGCTAAGCGAATTGAAATGCTGAAGGATAGGTCCACAAGATTTATTGGAGATACCTAAGAGATGATAAAAGACGAAAAGAAAGACTGTAACAAATAATAAAATTATATAAATAATCTCAGTACAGAGTATTGTATATAAAAAAACCGACCTCAAATACAAATACAATACAATACAAAATGCTTTATTTCTTTCAGAAAGTTCTATATGTAGTTACATTTCATGTATAAGTTCCTTAGTGAGAACTGGAGTCTGTACTAGGTTGGGGACCTTTGTTACAGATCACCAGGCTCACTCCCTCTAGGTGTATAAAGAACGTAACATTATTTAAAAAAAATATGATTATATTACAAAATAAAATAAACCTCTAAAATTTCGTGGAAGTAATTTCACTTTTTAAAGTTTTATTGAAATCGGAAATCGGAAATTGCATAAAACCAGATACATCCCCTAGTTTACCCTCCTTAAGGTGGAATATTTTTTCAAATTTAAATAGGAATGTGACCAATACTGTGGTACCCTCTTTCCAACGAAAAAAGAATCATCAAAATCGGTTCACAAATTCCGGAGTTATAGCGAACATACATACAAAAAAAACATACAGTCAAATTGAGAACCTCTTATAAAACACTCCCTATACAACTATAGAGGGTTATTATTAAAATACTAACAACCTCATAGGACTATAATATTATTAACATCATAAACAACAACTTTTGTTCGATGACTTATTACAAAACATAATAAATTCACCAAAAAGAAACCTTTTAAGTTTTTGTTGTACTACCTGACACTTTTATAGACCTCTGTATTTGGTAGAATAAGTTCAAACGTGCAAAAGTCATGGAACAAAACGTCGGGGATGGTGCAATTACGCGTAACTGGCATTTGACTATGAGTTTCCATTTCGATAATTTAGTGGCTAAATCAAGTACGCGTAAATGTCGTAGCAACCAAATTAGCGTGATTTACGGGAATCTATTGTTGTCAGTCCGTAGACAACATAAATTAATGCTTACCGTGCAAAAATGAAAGTCGTAGCCATGGAGTTAAAATCCCTCTCCTGTGAAACTTGGTTTAGGCAGATACGCGTCTTGTACCAATACTACTTACGCGGATTTGCACTATCCCCGACGAAAAGTTTTTGTTTATGATGTTAGTAACATGGTCTTGCGAGGTTGTTTGTATTTTAAAAATAATCCTGCATAGCACAAGAGTCAATAATAAATTAATAATAATATAGTAATTACGATGGTAATAGTGGGGATAGTGAGGTGTACAAAGGTAGATTTAAACAACGTTCTAGTGCTTTTTTCAAACACCTGACAAATATAATTATATTTTAGTAGCAGTAGAACTCCTTGTGAAAGCACCTTACCTATTTCTGCCGCCAAGCAGTAATGTCAGCGTTACTGTGTTACGGTTTTGAAGAGTAAGAGTGCTGGCGAAATTACAGACACATGGGACTTGTCAACTTATGTCTCAGGGTGACGGGAGCAGTGGAAGCCCCTCAGATCTTTGCGATTTAAAGTTATGGATTGTGTAGTTTATCATCAGGCGCACGATTGGTCTCGTCACTTAATATTACAAAAAAAAAGCCGATTTCACGCACGATCAGATCGGAACACATGTCTAGTTTAAAGTTTAAGATGCCATTATATTCATTTATAATAGATCTATGATATAAGCAGCTCTATTCACCGGATTTTTGAATAATATCATTTATTATTATTGATTAAACATAAGTAAATGATCGAACATAGAACTTAGATATAGCAGATAGCAGCCCATACTGCCTAAGTCCTGTGCTATGGCACTCATAGCTTCTCGGTAATAGTATTTACAGGCAGCTCCCCGTTCCTTTCTGCATAAGTTTTGATTATAGTGACCACTACCCACTGACCCTTAGGGTATACGAGAAGGTCACTATAACCTGTGCAAGCAAAGGGACCTTCTAAATTCAGGAGCTCTCATAGTTGTCATAGTTACTGACTTCATCAGGTTGTCAAGAGGCTAGTTGGGGTGAACCGGCCCGGAAGCACGTACAGTACAGTCTACCTATCCTATAAAGCAAAGTAAACAGTGTCATTCATGACATCCAGGCAAAGTCGACCGTATGTCCTAAATTATACTTTTTTCATTACATTTATTTTTTATAATATTATCAAGTGACAGACATTATTGCCCTATGGATTTTTCACATCGAGATTAAGCAAAAAAGTTTTAATACTCGAAAAATCCTGAACGAATATTTCGAATAAACTTAAAGAATAAAAAACAAACTAAACATTTACAACGTAACTAAATTTATTTTGTAAATTAAAATTCTGCAGTATTTTTAGAATTTGGAAATTATTTATATTATATCTATAATACATAGTGCCTACATGCCTCTGTCTTTTATAACATAACATTTAAGTTCGAGTTGTATTGTCTATGGAAGAATTGCTGGCAATCTATTTAAAACAATAAACCCGCCATTTGCAAAATCCGTGTCAAGACCAAGACGTAAACTATCTTTGTAACTATTTCCTCACAAATATGATGATAAACATTGTAAATACCACGGGAGGTAAAAGTTACAAACCTCAAGTCATTAAAGCCCTCAGCTTCGTGTTTCTAAAACAAACTCTCGTCAATAATTCCTTATTTACCGCCCTTACTTAATACACAATGTACTATTAAAACGAAAGACATTCCCACCTGCCCTTCACAGCCTCCAGAGACGAGGGTTTTCCCGTCCTTGGTCATGCCAATGGCCGAAGTGCCTTTGTTGTGTGTGTTGTAGATGCAATAGATGAGCCGCCCAGTGAGGGGTGTAAACGAGCGGATGCACCCGTCGTTCCATGCTGAAGACAACGTGTGTTATATTTTTTAATGGTGTGAACGACGATGGTAAGCGCTCATCTACAAAGTGGCCACTAGCTCTAACCTTGCATTAGCCCAAAATTGTAGTTTCATAAAACTCAGATACCGCGGTTCAGTGCCGGATTTAAAGGGAGTTACCGGAGGAGAAGCGGGAAAAACTGTTTAACTAGTTCAGATGGTTTAGGTATTTATTATTAAATAACTGTTTTAGGCAGTATTTATAAATAACGGTATTTAATGTTCTTAGGCGTCGGTGACCGCTTTCCATCAGGCGGGCCGTATGCTTGCTTGATGCCTACATAATATAAAAAAAAACAAGTTACCCGAAACGATAGACTTCCCGTCGGCGCTGAACAGCAAAGCGGCACAGGTGAAGTTGGGCACGGCGATGCGCAGCAGCTCTTGGCAGGTCTCGAGGCACCACACGCGGATATCACCTGCCCCCGCCGTCGCGAACACACCCGACATGCCCCTGGAAATGCATAAACATTTTCTGAATTCCTTGCAAAATATATCATCATCATTTCAGCCGAAATAAGTCTAATGCTGCGCATAGGTCTCCCCCAAAGATCGTAACAATGACCGATCTTGTGTTGCCTGCATCCACCGGTTTCTCGTAACCTTCATCAAATCATCGGTCTACCTTGTGGGTGGTCTGGCTGGCCACGCTGCGTCTTCCGGTACGCGGTCATCATTCGAGAACTCTTTGGCCACTCGGTTGTCTATTCTGCAAGCAATGTGCCCTGCCCACTAAGTTTTGCAATTCTTAGGGTTATGTCGGTTACTCTGGTTCTTTTGCGGATATCCTCATTTCTGATTCTATCATGCATTGAAACTCCGTGTGTAGTCCTTTCCATTGCACTTGGGGTGACCTTGAACCTTGTTACTTGTTTGTTTAGCCGTTGTTAAAACAATCTCTGACCCGCAAAACCATGCTGTTAGTTACACACTAGGCCCCAGAGTGTCTCTGAGAGGTAGCTTTAAAGGAATTAACATAACGTTTAGTAGCAGTAGAGCTCCTTGTGAAAGAGTTCGTCCAAGGAAGTACTGCCACCTTACCTATATCTGCCGCCAAGCAGTAATGTCTGCTGGTGAAACTGCATGCACGTAGGACTTATCAACGTCTCAGGGTGATGGGTGCAGTGGCAGTGCTCCTCAGATCTTTGCGAATTAAAGTTCTGAGTGGCACTGCCATTGTTATGGACTGGCGTGTCGCTTAACACCAGGCGCACGACTTGTTTGTTTCCTGGAAGAACTCTTTCACAAGGACCTGTACTGCTACTAAAATTCATTAAAATTCGTATCCAAATTCATGGCGGAATTGATACTTACCTAGGAAAGGCAATATCATTGATAGCACACCGATGGCAAGTAACCACCAGCAAGGGTGTAAATGTGACCACGTTGATAGCGTAGATTTCACTGGTTCGAGTGCCTGCAAGGAGCAGACGCTTGTCGCCTTGCAGATGCGGAGACTCCAACAGCTCGAGTGACGTTATGCAGCCCAGCAGCTTGCACGTTTTTAGCTGGCGTGTACGTAGATATTATAATGGTAATTTAGTAAATTAGCCTAGTACAACACATATAGTGCGGCGGTACGTGTATGACAGAACGGTCCAATCTCAATTCGTATCCTTGTTATAGTGCTTGGGGCGCACTATAAGTTTTCGGATTGAATAAGAAAAAATACTATAAATGGTCAGAAATGAATTTAGTGTTTCTAAAAATATTCTCCGTTAGAGTTAAAGCACTTTTTCACACGAATGAACCAATTTTGAAAACATTTATGCCACTCCTCCGTGAATCATACTATGGAAATTTTCACGAGTTAAATCCACGGTGATGTAGACAACCACTTTCTAAAATGACGCCACAATGTAAAAACAAGTGACAGTCAGATGAAACAAACTGTATTTATTCTACAGCCAAAAAAATCCATTTTCAAATGTTGTAATTACTTTTTAAATATTGTTTATGTAAGTGGCCAGTTCCGAAAACTTATAGTGCGCCCCTTAGAGCATGCGTCCTATGTAAAGCATCGAGTATAATTATAACCAGAGGCAAATGGGCCTTATATCTCTTTTAAACATCAACTCTCGATTGCGCTGAACTCACAAATTAGAAAGCTGAAATAGCACAGCGCCAACAACAGACCCGTGTGTCTGTATTTATTGTAATAAAGATCTCTAACAATAGGGGTTGTTCCATTCGGTGGTGTGGCAAAACATATAATTACAAAACAAACGGAATCACGTTTCATCGGTAATTAAATATTAATATGTAATTTTTCAATTTTCGTCCATTATAGCAAAGCTCAAGTTAAACTGGTCGGGTTGAAGTGAAACAATTGACGACACCCGTCCTGGTCAATGCCAGGCCAATGGTCACCGATGTCTAAATAGATGTGGAAAACAGATGTAATTTCACGAACTTTTGAGGTCGGTTTTTTTTATAATATCAAGTGATGGGACGAACAAGTCGTGCGCTTGATGGTAAGCTACATGCCTGTCCATAACAGTTGCAGTGCCACTGTGCCCTGTCACCCTGAGTCATAAGTTGACAACTCCCATGAGCCAGTTTAATACTCCGTACTGACTATAAAGTCATAAAAACAATGCGATTTTAAAATTAATAGATTCAGGCATTACATTGCGGAAACGCATGTTAACAAATATAGAAGTAGGTACTTTCTAGAGCCTGGTGAAGGTTAAATAGTGCAAAATAGCTGCGCTTGTGTTGATTATTATTTTCATATAGTTAGTTTCCACCCTCCCTCCTACATTTCCGAGTGAGAAGAATATCTTAGAACGAGTGTCGAACAATCAACAACCCCCGAGGATGCGTCGTAGAGAGGAGGATATTTTTGATAGTAGTGTTTGCGACTTTTTTTAATAATGAAAAAATAAATCGACAGTAACAATGAGGTCGACGATGGAGCAAACGACTGTGAAAGACCGCAGACACAGCGTATACCCAAGTTTTCTAAGCAGTTGGCATCGAGCATATAACCAGAAATACAGATAAAATGTCATATAATTTGTTTGAAAACTATTTTGCCATATCATTACTGTGTGCGCTCCGATTGGCCAGTCCGAATTCGAAACAATTTACGGGTGTCGTCAATTGTTTCACTTCAAACCGACCAATGTAACTTAAGCTTCGCTATAATGGACGATAATTGAAAAATTACATATTTAATATTGAATCACCGATGAAATTTGATTCCGTTTGCTTTGTAACTAGGTGTTTTGCTGTTTTTCCCCACACCGCCGAATGGTGGAACAGCACGCCATTGTTAGAGATACTATCTTTATTACAATAAATACAGAATATTTTTGGAATATACGGAAACGTACACACAGGTCTGTTGTTGGCGCTGTCTATATTTCAGTTCAAACGAGAGTTGATATTTATAAGAGATGTATCACTGACGAGTTACGAGAAATGTATGGCCCTTATTTCGTCTCCATTTCTATGTATATACTCGATAGCAGTTCGTTTTCAGTCAGAACAAAAAGGTAATTTGCTAGCTTGTAATTAGAATGAACAAAAACACTACAACGGGCTAGCTTTCTTGCAATAATTATTCACTTTCACACACATAAAACTTAAAATTGTTGTAAAATGAAGGTCAAAGGAAAACATTGACCGTACTCACAGCTTTGAAGTACGGTTGGTTGGGACTGACGATCTTGCCCTTGGGGAAGCCGCCTTTCCAGTTGATCTCGTCCAGGATGTCGATGGTGCCGTCACCAGCTCCCACAATCAGACACCCGTCATCCATAATAAGAATGGATTCTATGCCTAATAAAAGGAATTATTGTTTACTAGGACGGACGCTATTCCAAAAATTACTCGCAGACAAAATAACTTGCATTTTTAAAATCTTTGTTCGTACCTAGTGTTGCTCAATGCAAATCCAAGACGAGACCAAGACTAGCACCAATCTTGGCTTCGGTGATGCTACAGTTGGTATTGGTCCAAAAACGTAACAACACGATCGAGACAGCAAGACAGACCAATTTTAAGTAACACTAGTAGTCAGTTCAAGATTGTCATCATTATTAGCTTACATGCATCCACTGCTGGACTTAAACCTCCCCTAAAGCACGCCAACTTTCCCGGTTGTGCCACCCGCATCTAGCCATTACTGGCCACCTTGCTCAGGTCGTCCGTCCATCTTGCCGCTGGGCATCCCGCACTACATTTTCCTTGACGTGGTCGCCATTCCAGAATAAGTCTACTCTATCGGCGATCAACCCTCTTGCAGACATGCCCGGCCCACTACCACTTAAGCTTACTGATTTTGCGAGCTATGTCGGTCACTTTAGTTCTCTGACGTAAGAATTCGTTAGGGATTCGGTCCATCAGAGAAAACCCAAGCATAGCGCGCTCCATCACACGCTGAGCTACCTTGAATTTGTGGACGAGACCTGCTGTTAATGTCGACGTCTCGGCTGCGTGCCTTAGTTTTTAGGCTTTGTGGGATTGACGACCCGAAGATGTGGCTAAGCGTACCAAATGCCGCCCAGCTCAAACGAATTCTCCTGTTGACTTCCTTATCGAAGTTGTGCTTGCCAAGCTGGATATTTTGGCCAAGTAGACGTAATTGTACGCAACTTCAAGAGTGGGCTACTCTTGAGGTTGTGCACAATTACAGTTACAGGTCCCGGGGTTCATGTGCGTTGAACATAACTTTAGTTTTGTCCAGGTTCATCCTGAGACCTACTCGCTGTGAAGAATCGTTTAAGCTGTTCAGCATCTCGCCGAGCTCCTGCAGGATTCCGCCATAATAACAATATCATATGCAAATCGAAGGTGTAAGATGTACTGCTCGTTGATGTTGATGCCTCGTCATTCCCACTCAAGCAAGATGCAACAGATGATTAAACAGCAAAGATTAGCATTTAAAAAATTTAATAAAATTTCGGAACGGCGTGGTTAAAAGCCTCTCGTCCTATAAATACTCCGAAAGGTACGCGACGATGAGTGTTATTATTTGTCACATAGCTCCGCAAGTAGCTTAGCTTTTTAAGGGTAACTGGTTAATGGTTAGAAGCGCAATGTCGTTGCGTTTCTGCTTCAGGTTTTAGAGATTTTTTTTCTTGCACACTCATAGTCCCGCACTAAGGAAAAAACATAGAGAACCACAAATTACACTCAAACTACACATAATTAAAAATAAATATACATATTTCTCTCGGACCGGGAACCAACCCGTGGACCTCTGCGTGGCAGTCCAGTATGGTAACCGTTCGGCCACTGAGGCAGTTTCAAATGTCTTGTACAGTACAGTTCAATGCTGTACATTGTGTCTAAGCATAAAGAATTTACGTGTTCGTGAGACAATTTTTTATAATTTATTTTTTAGTTCATAATAAGCGGACACGCAGTGCACTCGTTTTCCATTCAATAGAGGAGTAAATCGCGAGGCTGGTGGTACGTGACACGCCTGCTCATAACAGTTGCAGTGTCATTCAGAGCGTTTATCGCAAAGATCTGAATAGTACTGCCATTGCGCTCGTCACCCTGAGAAATGACAAGTCTCATGCGCCTGTAGTTTCACTAGCACCCTTACCCTTCAAAACCGGAACACAGTAATGCTCATGCAATAGTATGAGAATTGCTGCGTTCCGTAATAGGCGTGATGGCAGTACCACATATTACTTAATACTTTCATGGACGAGCTCTTTCACAAGGAGCTCTACTACTAAATTACTCTCATTCCATCATGATACGTAGGTACATGTCCTCTAAAAAGCTAATCTAGGAATTCTAGATAAGCTCGTTGTATATTGATGAGGCTTGACATACCTTGGCTGTAACATTGCGACTCAGGACGCTTGCCCTTCTTCCAAGGACCACATTTAGCGAGGCACCCTATCAGCGCTGGCTTGCAGTGGCTCACCGACTCGCCAGGGTCCGACGGGTAGTTGATTGAAAACTTTATCATGTCGCCAGTTCTAAAAAAATATGATACCTACCAAGTCACACACGACACTGACATAAAAAAAGACGAATGCGTATAGGCACTTGGTACAGGTAATAAAGCCACACGTCAAAAGTGCTTTTATCATAAAAATAATACGAACCACATATAACATTATGTATAAGTGAAATTTAACAAACCTGGTAATTAAGCATAAAACAATTATCAACCAATTTCCTTTGCAGTACCTATCTTTGAACCTCTCTCCTGAAAAGTTATTATTTTGCAGAGGTGTCCTTATTACACCAACAAGGGTGCCAATTGATTCTGTTATTGACGGACAAACACGTTTGGTACGTCAAAGAGAGCACTCGATGCGACTGAGTATCGCATGATAGTTTTTCAAGTGGTCTAATTGGCCAAGACTATCCGCGGCCGAATTATGGCTCTATTGTTATATTAATGGGAATCAGATCGGATTCCAATAAGTTTCCAATAATATGACAACTTCGGAGGCCCAACGGGAGGCACTGTGGGCTCTGGATAAGGAGTTCCTGAGTCCGATTCCCGGCAGGATCAATTGGGACAACGAACTTCCTAAATTGGTTGTCAGGGTATTCCGGAGAGGTCCGGGAGGGAATTCCTATGCTCCAGGTGATTGGTGTTGTTGTCTGGCATATCTATTAAAATTAAAGTTCCAATAAGTTATTATAGAAACAGTTTCCGCCAATGGTGAATACGTTTGACGAAAAGTGTGTGCAGTACATTCCAGTCTGGTCCAAAAACTTGACAATCCTAGGCACAATAAAACCAATATCAAGTTTTATAGTCCGACCTTACATTCGTTCGTACGAGATGAAAGAACTGCTAGCAAGCTTCAAAAGCAATATGGTGCTTACGTGGTCCCCGCAATGCCATAGGCGTCGTCTTTGTTGACGGCGATGCAGCGCACGCAACGCCGCAGTTTACCCATAGACACGTCGTGCACATCAAGGTTCTTGCTTTCTTTACGGATCGTCCAGATTCGCAGATTGGCTGTCGTCGAATGATAACAATAATATTAGGTAAGTATTCCTAGAGTCATGGAACGAAATTTTAAGGAAGGATAAGTATCACCATGGAATCACCTCATAATAAAGAGCGCTTATTACAAATTTTGGTTGAGAATGATATTTTTTTAATTAAAAGAATAAGTGCGCATTTGATCTCCATCTAAAATGCCTATTCACTCTCGCCTTGAAAAAACCTAAGTTATAACATTCAGGGAACAAGTCTGCAGGCAGGGAATTCCACAGCATAACCGCTTGCCTTATAAATGTGGAAGCTTCGTGCGTACCCTTAGAATATCTACAACATAGGGATGTGATCCCAGCCTACGTCTAATCCTCCAATGACGGACGGAGAGGAAGGCTTCCGCCTTAAATCGTATAATTTCATCCGGTAGAATATAGATAAGCAGGCCTGTACGGCGGTGTTCAAGGCTCTGCAGCTTTGTCTCAACTAAATTCGAGTCACCTATAGAGGCCACTTGACACGTTTTAAAAACTGAATGCAAGGTGGCCAGTTGGAGTTTAACAGAACCATCCGATATTTGAACATTTTATACGGAACAGACTTTTTTTGGTTCCGGTTTGAGATAGGAAACATTTTAGAATTTGTCCCGCAATCCTAGAAACATACTTATAGGGTATATTTCCAATTGATGAAATTGTTTCTGTCAAATCAAAGTGATCGTAATAGGTAGAGTATTTTTTACTTGAACTTCCAGGAACATAGACAGAAAGTGGAGACTGCCTTAAGACAATATTTTTTAGGACGTGGATCTTTTTGGGATTTGGGAAATCACTTAAATACAATAAAAATTGACGTTATTTGGGATAGGCAGGTAGACTATATTTATCTTAACTTTGCAACGATTTGTTGCAACACCAATTTTTCGGAATATTTAAGAAATTTTCGACTTTCTGAAAAATTCCTTGGATCCGGCCGGTTTTGAAATATTTGTATTAATAAGTGGAGTAGTTCCACTTAAAAAATAATTGAATATCAATCCAATAAAAAAAAATTAAGGTCAGAATTTTAAAATCAGCAGAACACGAAGAGACGATGCGATAGCTTTAGGTTTTGTTTAATGGGACGTTGTGGAGAAATCCGAAAACATAGAAGATACAAGGAAACTGTCTTAAACGTCTGCTGTCCCCATTTTTCTTTCGATACAATGAAGTCATCCTTATAAGAAACGCAGTCTATTAGCATTTAAAACCTAGTCAATTTTATTCATTTTGTATGAAATTTGACCAACTTTGCTGTCCCGATTTTTTATGAATATTCCTGCGGAGTCCTAAAAGTATCGCATCGTCTCTTCGTGTTCTAGTAGTTTTAACTTTCTGACTTTATTTTCGTGTTATATATAATCAGAAAGTGGAATATTTCCTAAATATTAGGGGTTAAAGTATGAAATTGCCGTTTTATTGCAATAG